AAGAACACCATTTCAAAGAGCTGTTCATTCTATATATCTATATATATATACCTAACATAGTTGACCGTTCTTACCTATGTCTGTGCGTCTTTAGGTGGGCCGTGACAAATCGGCAGCGTCTCCTGGACCTGAACAGCAGTCTAGAGTTCAAGCTGCACCGCCTGTACTTCATCAGCCTGCTCAGTGGAGGAATCGGCAACCAAATGGAGGCCCTGCAGTATGCTCGGCACTTCCAGCCCTTCGCCTCCCAGCACCAGAGAGGTACACAGCATGCCTCGGCGTCTAATGCTGCTCGTTTAGCTGATCTGCTCAATCATCGTTGTGACATTCCTGGCAAAAACGTACAATGATGCTCAACTTGATTTGTATTTCACAGTTTTTGTAAAAAGGGACATATTATGTTAACATGCTTTTAATGTAAAAAAAACACTTCATAATTGTTTTTAAATAAAGTTTTTGCACCTGCTCTGATTTGCTTGCAAGGGTAATTGCAAATGTAGTTCTCAAGCCGCTGTTGGAGATATTCAGTTGGGGGGTGCTATATTGTAATGAGCCTGCATGTGACATAGACAGTGGCGCCAAATTTGAGCTTGTTTAATCCAACATTTTTCAAAAAGAAGCCGCTCACAAAAAAATGAACCAATTGTCTAATTTCACAGTTTTTAGGGTTGAATGCAAAACTGTGTTTCTGATGATATGTCCCTTTTCTAAGATTTAAATGATTTGTGTCTCTGACTCTTTTAGGAAGAGTCCCATCTTCACCTTCAGGCATATATATGATTTCTCTGAGTCTTATCACACAATTCTCTTTTAAACTTTGATTTGATTGTTTATCACACATGTTCTTTGGGTCCCTGCAGACATACAGATCCTGATGGGCAGCCTGGTGTACCTGCGTCATGGCATTGATAACTCTCCGTACCGCAGCCTGCTGGAGACCAATCAGTGGGCCGAGATCTGTAACATCTTCACCAGGGATGCCTGCTCTTTACTGGGCCTCTCTGTAGAGTCTCCTCTCAGTGTTAGGTCAGAAAACCATGAACAACACAAACTCACCAAAATTGATATTAAAAGATTTCAACCACAGTCAGACTTATTAATCTCCGCCATGTCTGTTTCTCTGCAGTTTTGCATCAGGCTGTATGGCCTTGCCTGTGCTGATGAACATCAAGCAGGTGATAGAGCAGAGACAGTGCAGTGGAGTCTGGACGCACAAAGATGAGCTGCCTGTAAGTCCCTCTGAATTTCTAAAGAGCATCTATTGCTCCTTTTCATTCTTATTCACCTTTCAACTGATCACGCCTATCTGCTCCCTTAGATTGAAATTGACCTGGGGAAGAAGTGCTGGTACCACTCTGTGTTCGCCTGCCCAATCCTCAGGCAGCAGACCTCAGAAAGCAACCCCCCCATGAAGCTCATCTGCGGCCACGTCATCTCCAGAGATGCCCTCAACAAACTGACTAACGCTGGGAAGTAAGTCAGCAATACAGCCTGGTTGTTTGATATGTGCGATGTATTATAATGCATGAGATTTGTATAGTGCCTTTCCTAATGCTTAAAGACACTTCACATAAAAACAGAACAGTATTATCTTTGAACAAAGCATTTAACTAATTTGACATGCTTATTTGTGCTGAATAAATTCAAGTCATCAACCAGTGGAAAACATACCAGCACTGTTGCTGTAGATATTGCATTGATATTGAGAGCTATTTTTCTATTATATCTGAAAATCCTATTATAACTGAAAAGAGAACATGAACGATTACTTGTATTTTGTTTGCAGTTAAAACGTAAACTCAGTGGGGCTCTGACATACTGTGGTGACATGAATGGAAACCAATGGCTTTCTTTAAATTACATTATCAATCAGAAAACGAATAGTTCATTACCCAAAATGGTCAGATACTAGATTTGTGTTTATCAGAGTACACAAGAAGTATCATCCTTTTTAACAAACCACACACTGTAACATCCGGTTCCCGTTTCTCTTCCTCAGGTTGAAATGTCCGTACTGCCCCATGGAGCAGAACCCTTCACATGCCAAGCAGATCTACTTTTGATAGCGCACACTTTCTTCACGAGTAAGGATGACGTTCCCTGGAGCTCTTTGCATTTCCAGGACCATTTGCTCTGGCCCTTTTTTCCTCTGTCCCTGGCCTCTCGGCCTGTTATTGTAAGCATTAAGGTTTTATCCCAGTGCTCCTCTGGACAGCCTTGGACCCCCGTAACCCACCTCGGACCCTTCAACTTTGCGTAGTATACAGAGTCCAGCGGGGATGGTCCGTCTACAACCGGTTGTAAAGTGAGGAGTCTGTCAGTAATGAGACCTCACGAAGAAGCACCTCTGGAAAAGGTTCATTCATTGAAACTCATTTGCAAATGCCTGCAGAGTTATAGGCTTATCTTTTTAAAGTATGTAATACTTTATAGTGTTTGTTTTTCAGCTTTATCGACCGTTTGAGTTGGATGACTGCTTCTTTTTTTCTTTCTCCTTTTTTGTGACGGAAGCAGTTGAATGATAATGAATGGGTACGTGTGGGTAAATGGTATAGATAGGCAGTTTCTGATTTCAGAAGGATAATTAACGTTATTATACACGAGGAAGAAAGGCAGGAAAACAAACCGAGTTGAAGGATATTATTTGCTGGTGGAGGTCTCATGAATGGAACTCTGGATTGTGACCCATTAATCCTCCATAATGTAATAAAGGCCTCACTTAGCTTCAAAGTCACTTTGAGCTGATGTTTCCGTTTGATCAGTAAAACATTTAACTCATCAAAGGTGGAACAGCTTTCTTTTTCTTTTGTTTGCGACTTACAGCACCAGCAAGATTTTCCTCATTGTAGAAGCCATGTGTCTTGTTCTATGTATGTATTTAACAAACAGTGACAAAAAGGAAACAAAAATATATACTACTGTGAAATGTGTTTTGTTTCTATTTTTCATTGCAACCGCCACAACGGCTCATGTAAATTAAACTGAACCGCAACATGCATAATCAACACTACTGCGTAACTCTCAGAACTAGCGACTCTACAGTTCACATCCTGTTGTGCCATCGCCTCACTCTGCCCCACATTGTGTATCCTAAGCTTGCAAGCCATGTGATTTAGAGATGTAAAATGGTGACGGTAGACGTATGGTCTGACTTGCAGTGACTGTAGGCTTGTGATTCAGCTTTACTCTTCGTGGGTGGGGAAGAAGTCCTCTGATCATTGTGGCTGTTGTTTAATATATACTTAGAAAATGCCTCTGCTGCGTAGCTTTTATTTCAGCTGGAGTCAGAATACAAAAACATTAGAATCAATGCATTTCCTCAGGGCTCATTGCAACAGTTCATACCACACCTTGCAGTTAGCATTACAGTTGTACATTAATTTAAGGAGTCTTGAACAAAAATGACACATTTCACTGGTTGGGCTGATAGTTTGGGTGATGTTGGAGTTTGTATATATTATTCAGCTGGGGGGGAAGTGTGTCACGAGGTCCAAGGCATTTGGATATACAATACAGTTTGTTTTAGATGATCAATACTAATAGTGCAAGTTCCCCGTGTCCTCTTGAAAAATGGTGATGTCAACTCGCATCAAAGTGAGGCTAATTAGTTTAGCATCGCACCAGCATAACTCACACTGACAACGCAACATTACACTCATTCAGAGTTTAATATAAATGCTTTTAGCGTTTGGTTTTTATTTGCAAAAGGGTTAGAGCACGTGTTGTGTGGACTTTCACTGAATTTCGTCTTTTTTTTCTTTGGTTGACAATCATTCATAGCTTCTTCGAGTGTTCCTTCAGATAGACGGCTAGCGCTCCGTACCCCTGTCGTATTAATTTTGTTGAATGTTTGCATTTCCTGCTTTCGTGTGTTATGCAACTTTTATTGTAAATATTTATCCTCTAACATGTTTCATATACTTGCATCTGAAATGAAAATAAAAATTTATACTCCAAGTCACATTTGGAGGTGTGTGACTTTGGCATTTGGTGATGGTCCCACACTATGACTCACTGACCATTTTTCTTTATGGTTTTACAGCTGCTCGGCCCTCCGGTCATCCCCACTTGGTGGCGCTCTTGCTGTATTATCCGCACTCAGACTATAAACCCTTTAATTCTATAACATCTAGTTGTTTTCATTTGATCCTGCTTCACAACCAGGAACCATCTTCCCGTTCAGAAATGATACACTAATGTTCCACAATAAGGTGATTTCATCAGATAAACAGCACTGATGGCATTCAGCACTGCAACCCTCCTACAGTGATAACATGAGGTAAGAATCCTTTATCATCCCACTTCAGTAAACCACTCGGAGATGTGTAGTTATATTAAGCCCCAGTTTATATAATAATTTAAATGCCAAAGTAAGGGCCTTGTGAGTCAGCCACAGCTCATAGCTATTCAGATAATGACCCTGTGAAAAAAACAACCAGCATTATGGACTCGCATGTGCTATCTCTTACTTTTCCTATAATTGTATTTATAAACTCACTTATGTAAAGCCATAAACATGAATTTAAGTGTTAAGCTTTCATCTCTGCCAAGATATCCTTAGGCCACTGTTCTAGTTTGCACATTTGATAGTTTCCATAGTAGTGCTTATTTTCATAAGCAAACAGGTCCTCCTATATTTCCATCTCTGCTAACTCTCTCTCCCTTCCGCTGTCTGTCCTGCAGGAGATGGTATGTGAGGGCTGGCTGGGGGAGAGCAGGGAGGACCTAGGGGAGAGGCCTGAGATAAGGATTCAAGGCTCAACCTCTAAAAGCCACATTAGTCCCAAAAGCCTCCGCCGCTTTGTTGTTCATTCTGTCATAAAGCTCCTGTCCTTGGGTTTTATTGGTACGCTCTCTGGAGATGTTAAGCCCCTCGGAGCAGGCAGGCGTCTGAGCCCTCGGGAGAATACCATCACTTACACCACTAACATTTTTGACAAGCGATTTCTGGAGAGTTTCATTTAGACAACGGTAGACAGAAAACCACTTTGTAGCCATAATTTACACAAATGCCACATTTAACACTTCATACATGTTTATTATGAATCCAAAAACAAACATATACATTTATACTGAACAGTTTTAATTCCAGTAAATAGACAAGAGTCACAGTATGTTGAAAGGTCGGTTGACAGCTGGCTTTTGAATGTTCATAAGTGAATAATAAACAATACAAGAGAACAATGTCACCTGTGTCATGCATTTAATTGTTATTGGCTGGGGATGTGCAACAAATGGCACCAAGCAGGGCAGTCGTGTTCAGCTTCCTTATCTGTTGATCGCTTTCGTTGCAATCAAAAGACGATATGAAAATGTGCCCATTTAAGACAGCATTGTGCTGGAAATACAATGAAAAAAGGCCAAAACAAATTGCATTACGTACAAAATATATAGAACTCACCTGACAGGAGCTGGAAGGTGAATGAGAAAAAGTTCAACGTTCCACTAGATCACTTTAATCCTTGATACTTAACCCAGAGATGCAGCTTCTCTCACAGAGCCCAGGTGAATCCACTTAACATGTGCTGCTGAAATGTTACCGGGCCAAACTAAATCCCTTTGTTACTGACTAGACTATACAGCAGTCCAAACCAAAATGTAATTTCCAAATGAACACAAACAGGATATCAATTTGCTCATTTACAGGTTTGTTGTTGGATAGCAGGCTGTGTCCTTTTTACAACATTGACACCAATCCTCTGCTAGGACAGATTACAATATTTCTGTGCAGCGACCCCCGGCTTTAGTGCGCTCTGTTGGAGATTTTTGGTTCAGTCTTTGCAGGAGTAGGGCTTTATTAAAACCAACAAGGATTAATAAGCATAGAATGGCCAACAGACCGGAAACTATGGAAGCCCTTTTTTGCCAGGAAAAGAAGAAGAGAATATAAAAATAAATGTATGATTACATTTAAAATCATCAACAAAGTCAGAGAGATATTAAGTCAGACCTTTGATATATTATTATCTTAGACCTGAGTTAATGTATCAACAAATTGACATTTTGAAATACTTTAAATAGTAAATCAAGAATTTGAGCTTGGACAGAATCATTTTGTTGAAAAAATGATTTGAATAAAGCATTTAAACTAGTTATTAAATCTAATCATTTACCAACTAGGAATCTTTAAACATATAGATGCCTGTCAAAATGAATTCCATCAAATGTTTGCTTAGTGAGTAAAAAAGGTGTACTTTCCTCACAATTTGGTTAACTCTTTATTTTCCCTTTTCCTGGCAGGCACATGGACTCCGGTAGAAACCACACTGCCAGACCGGTTAGTCTGGCACATTCAAATTTCAGATGATTCAATTCTGTCTATCCACGGCAAACCAGAGGAAGGTCTGTCGTCTTGTTTTTCAGCCTCTCTCTCACTCCTCAGCTCTGGCACTTCTCTTTCCAGTGTCCCATTTCTGCTCCCTCCTCCTGCTCCTCCTGCTCCCTCTTGCTCTCTGCCTGCCCTCAGCTGGTGCAGCTCCTTCTCCAGCGCTTCGTTGCGGTAGTACATCTCTAAGTAGCTGGCCTGCAGCTCCTTCTGGTAGCGGATGACCTTGTCCTTTTCTGTCTGCCATGTCTGCCTCTCTTCTTCGAAAGCCATGGCCTGGCCCTCGCTCTGGCGTCTCTCCAGCAGGAGCTCTGCGCGCAGACGCTCCTCTGTGGGGCCCCCGCAGACTCCTGCAAGCAAGAGGTTCACATGGCTTCAACTACAGGCCAACAGAGCCGTAGGGGGAATATAATACAAATACACGGGCTGCTTTTAAAAGGGCTGCTCCTGACCTGGTTAGTCAAATAACCAGATTTTGGCTCCAAGTATGTAGATTTCATGAATCTAAAATAACTCAAGACAAGTTACAGCTGTGTTGATAAGAAACACAGCTTTAATGTCTTAATCGCTGAGATAAAACAGGCATCCGTGACATATAATTATCTTGCTTCAACTTGGCATCTGCAGGCTTTAGCAGGTTTGTTCTTTCTGAGGTTGACAGGTTGTGAAAATGCAATTGTGTTTTTGTAAAGTCTTTTGGGAGGACTTGCTTTGTCAACAAATTAACTTAACTCTTATCTGTGCTTGTGCTATGACTCAAGTGAGTTGTATTCCTACGAACCATCAAAGAGAGTGCAAACATTGCCATACGACACACAACTAAGAGACAGAATCATAAATCTACCTGTTGCCCCAGCTGAAGGATTCTCCTCTGCTCCTTTTCCGTCCTCATGTGCAGGCTGAGAGGAGCACCTGCGACGCTGCGTCCCCTGCAGGACCAGCTTCAGTGCATCCATCTGGCCCTCTTTGTTGCGCAGATCTGTGCGCGTCTCCCTGAGCTGCGTCTTCAGCTGGAAGATCTCACTCAGCTTCTGGGTCACCTCCGCCTGGGAGTCCCTCAGCTGCTGCTTCAGCAGGGAGATCTCCCCTGACTTCTGGCAAACCTGAGAGAAAATAAGTGAGAAATACACATTTTACTGACTCTTCAAACCTGTTTGTACTCATTTTAACATCCACTGTCCCCTGTAATCACTACTTTCTAAGTGCTTCTCTCTGCCATAAAGTGTCCCCCCCTTCCCTGTCCTCCCAAGGCCGCACCTCCCACTGCGTCTCCTCCAGAGTGGGACTGGTTCTCTTCACCATGGCTCCAGCCTCCTGGCTCCTTTCTCTGTTCCGGCTGTCGAGCTCCTCTTGCAGTCGGTTCTTCTCCTGCTGGGCCTTAAACAGCTGCAACTGCAAGGTGCGCTGAGAGCGCTGGGCATGCTGGGAAACCTGGCGCAGCTTGGCAGCATACAGGTGTTTCAGCTCGTCCACCTCCTTCTCCCACAGACGCTGTTTCCCTTCGAAAACCTGCATGCAGACACCAGATAGGGGTCGGACTTCAAAAGAAAGGCAGGTTGATGTATAGATTGGTGATAAAGAACAATACACCATCAGACTCACCTGGGCGATGGCGCCCTCACTCTCATCTAGGTTTCTCTTCATCTGTTTCAGCTCGTGCTCTTTCTCCACCAGCCGCTCCTCCAGATCACGGACCTGGAAAGGCAACATTAAGGAATCAGCCATCTGTAAATCATTCCGACCTGCTCCTCCATTCTCCCTTCTCTGTAGTACTCACCACTTCCTCCACGGACAGGGAGAGAGTCCATTCATAAGGAGGAGGAGCCTCTCCTCCATATGGAGCCAGACGGCTCAGGGTGGCCATGCTCCGACAGGCCATCTCTCCTATGGCCACGCCCCCTGGCCCGACACCCTTCTGGCCCAGAGAGGTGCGGTCCAGGGAGCTGATGGTGTTGATGTGTCCCATAGATGCGCTGGAGTAAAAGAAGAAACCCCCAAAGGCCATTAATATCTCTTACATTATCACCTCCCACTGTCATTAAGAATACAAAAATATATCAAAGCAACACTTCCTTTGAATACAAAATAGAGCGAAGGAAATGCAGCAGTGGCAAACCTGATGTGAGACAGGTGTGGGCGGAAAGGAGGCCGGTATGGCGGAAGGCTGTTCATGGAGTTATGGCCCGAGTCTGACAAATTATCATCCTCCTGGCTAATCCCACGCACCGAGGAGATGGCCTACACATAATTATACAGTTATTAATCATTGTTATATTAATAGGTTTAGAAGATATTCATTTAGGGAGCAAATAACAGTTCAGTCCACGAAAAGTTTATTGTTTTTGCTTCTGTAATCAATGCACAAAGATCAAAAAACAAAATACCTTGTTACCACTGGATGTTGGTGCTCCATGGCGGGAGGGTGAGGAAGAGGAGGAGGAGGTGGAGACAGCTTTGGGGACATGGGCGTAAGACCTGTGCAGCCCATTGGAAAGGCCATGGTCCACATCCTCAGACTTGGAAGAGGGATAGAGGTTTTGCATGGAGCTGAAGTTTTTCGGTGTGACAGGCTTGAAGGCAGACCTTAATCGAGCCTGGAGGAAAATAACCAAGGGGTGGACAAGTTCAGGGCAGTTTAAAAGGATCAGAAGATAAGAACAAAAACATACTCTGAGCAAATGGGGCTGGGCTGCGGAACGATAAATCACAGGTGATCTATTAAAGCAAAGCTGTCCCACCCTCTGTGTTCATAGAGTGGATCAATTCAAGCAAAAAAGTGAGATTTGATTGCCGCAATAAATCCAGTAACACAGTAAGGGCAGACTCTGAATCTATGCTGGAGAGCTGGAGGAGGTTTGAGGTTGATTTATGCTGGTAGCAGGCTATGGGGGTGTTGCAACACGCTGGCAGAGATGTATAAATGTGATACTGATCAATTTAACATAGCCTCAGCAGGCTGTATATCATTCATAAAAAGAGACACAAAGGGAAGCTGTGCCTGAATCTGTGACTTGGTCCCTTTGCTTTAGTAGCCAATATGTAACAGGGTTTCCACACATAGACCTTACTTGGGCGGGCCGCCCAGGTATATTAACGTCCGCCAAAGTATATTTCGCGACCCATTTGGGTTTAACCTTTTTTTATACGTCCGCGAGCACGACGCCACCTGCGATCGATTAACTACCCCTCCTGTACCTGTTCGCTCTGTATCGCGTGAAGGATCTGCTTTATGCGCTCCGCAATAACTCCGCTGCGAGGCACCGGCGAACAGTTAATGAGCGTGCCCGACCCCCCCCCGTTGATGTGCGTATTCCTCTAACAACGCCCCCCTACCGCGACAAGTATAAGTATATATCAGATCTGTGGGAAACACTGTGTAAGGTGTATTCATGTCGTCATACATTCATCGCACACATGTATTGAAGTACATTTTGAATTGGAAATAGGACCACTTCACTTGTTTTTTTGTTTGCTATGGTACTTATGCTTCCCCAACATTTCAGGAAAATATAATACTTTTTACCAACGGTTCAAAGTAAGTACATTTAATCAAATACTGTACTTAAGTAAGATTTTGAGGGACTTGTACTTTACCTGAATATCAATCTTTTTTGCTACTTTGTACTACTACATTTGTTTTGTACCTTTAGATACAGATTTTGATTAATGATGTAAAATATAATCAACACTTAAATAATACTTTCTTTACACCTGGAGTAAATTCACAAGCGACCTTGGAAAAAAGTATCCTCTAAAGTTTAGAGGATACTTTTTTGAATAACAATATTTACCTTTTCATACTTGCCTGCACTTGGCAGGGAGTTCTTAGTCAAATCTATTTCTGTGCCGTCTTTATGGTACACCTTGGCGTATAAGTTGTCCTCCTCACGGCCAGGGATAACGTCCTTCTTCCCGTCAGCGCCTGTTTTAGGCTCTCTCCTGTTTAGAAACACACTAGGTCAAGTCCTGGCACGTTTTGCATTACCTTCCAGACTACTTCGCCTTCATGTGAAACAGCAACACTCACCTGGTGATGTTGAGGTAGTTGAGCAGCTCTCTCTGGGTGAAGCCTTTCTTCAGGAGGCCGTTGGTCTGTTTGGGTCTCACCTGTGGAACTGCACGGCTGCTTTTAGTCGGAGACAGGTCCGGCCTCTCCACCAGACTGCCTACACTTCCCATGCCGCAACGGGACGAGAGGGGCAGCGGGTTACGGAAGGTTTTTTTGGGGCCACGGGTCAGAGGAAGTGTTTGGACTGAGGTTGCCATTGGTTACAGGGCTCGGTGGGGGGGTAAGGTGCTCTGTGAAAAAGAAAGAGGGAAATTAAGTCAGAAGATCTGTTCATAGTTAAGGAAATGAATGGAAACATTCTGATGGGTTCTCTGTTGAGATATTCCCTACTTGTTGGTAAATTGTGTTTTAAATAACGTGTTTATTCTTGGCTTTTTAGGCATTATAGATCTGTTCAGTTAAGTTGAAAAAGTCAAATTAAATGATAAATGACCAAGGATGACATCTTCAAATGTCTTGTTTTGTCCATAATCCAAAGACCTTTATTGTGCTGTCATTGGACTACACAGGGACCTGAAAATATACACATTTGAGAGTCTAGGATATTTCAGGGTATTTCAAACACATAATAACTTTATGGTTGTGATAGATGAAAGGTCAGGTAATCACCGAATTCCGTATGCCTCATCCTCCGGGGACCATACATCTTTGTACAGAATTTAATAAATATTCATCCAATACTTGAGATATTTTAGTCTAGCCTAAAGTAGAGAACTGACCGGCAATGCCATCAAGTCGCTAGCGTGGCTAAAAGATTAAGCTCTTAGTCTATCCTCCTTTGCTAAAATGGACTCCACCTCTTTCATCTCTACTGGATGTTGATCTTTGAAAGAATAGCATGGGCTGACTGACATTACATCAGCTGTGTTTCTCTGTAACGACAGCTGCTTCAGAGCACAGCTAGAACAACTGAGCTTCCCACAACATCACAGCAAAGAAAAACACTAAAAACACACACACACTCAAATTGACCTTTATGAAAACCATTTTCAAGGAAAACAATGGATGTAAATTGATGTCTTTACAAAGAAGACCAATCCCAAACTAATTTGAAAATATGTATTTCATAATGTAGTTGTGACATCCCTCTTGCCTCTCAAGAGCTCTTGTTATTCTTTCCCAACAGGAAAATCAAAAGACAACAGGATCATGTTAATCTGGTGGGGTCATGTTGTTTAATTCTAAGGCAGGGCAGCATATGTCACTTCACACTACAAAGTAACTATAATCCAACCAATAAAACAGGGCTTATTTAAACAGACGGAATTGCTTTGGTTACAATTCACATTAGAGATAGTGTATCAGGTTTGGCTGCACCTTATTTTGTTTGCAAATGTCCTGTCTTTCATGAAAATCATTTGGTAGTGTACCATTCTTTCAGTTTTGCATCACAGAACTAGCACGGCCTCAATACATAACATACAGAGCTGGAGTTTTCTGTCAGTAATGCAACATTTAGTTGAAAAAAAACTCCAAAACAATACAATGACTCATATGTTCTCTTGACTTTTTTCAAACCTGTTGCCAAGTTACCTCAAACACCTACATAAGAGGCACTATTGTTTTATCAATTTAAGTTTGAGCTGCAGTAAATCTTCCGTCTAATCACTCACATATTCCCGCCGTTCCTTCTTTCATACAACCTCATTAAGGCTCTCTATTGATTTCACCCTCTCTCTTCCCATGCATAAACACCCCCAGCAGCCGTAAAACATTCCAGAAACCATAAAACAAACACGCCGCAGTCTCTCCAACTATAAACAGGGCCCGAGGGCCGGCTGATGTGGCACTGGTAGAACAGGTAGGGTTTAAAGGGCCATACCACACGTTTTGCTTCTTTCAGTCCATTATATGCAATACTAAACAACTTTAAAATGAATTTCCTAACTTAGAACTGTTGCTTTGTATACATGTATTATATTTTGAAGATAAACAGAGAGGCTTAAATTTGCTTCAGTTTAGTGTTCACGAGAACACCTTATTTAGGTAATGCATTTGCCAACTGTGTGCATTCAAGGACATCTGATATTTGAGAAATTGCTGCCAAGTATGACTCTTCAAGTAAAAGTATGTTGTTGTCGCAAGATGCAACCTGGAGGACGGCCAATAAACCAGTTTCAGGTTGGTTACTGCAAGTTATTTTATGAAGAACCATTACATTTACTTGGGAACTTTTTTCAGTAAAATTCATGATTTTGAAGGAAACATGCAACCTCCCTGATTCCCAGTACGCACATTTCACACAAGTTTATCTTGCTGTCACACAGTAATATACTATGGATGAGCAGAGACGCATGCAGTGACACCCTGGGATCTCCTTTCGTTTCTTATCCAATGACATTAACATGTATTAAGGGCATTGCACTGCTGGGCTCGACAGTTATAACAATTATGCAAATGGTTAATAGGCAGAGAGAGCTGAGCTCCAGCCTACTCCTCTCAGCCTCTCAGCCAGGCCCACATCAAAGCAGCACAAGCTGCTCATGTTTTTATTCATGAGGTACTATCTCTCCCAATGTAAAACTTTCCACTAAAGCATCCGGCTCCTAATAAGCCTATATAATGCAGGCTGAGGAAAGAAACCTGATATCAATGACGATGAATATAATCAAATATAATGTGATAACCTATCTAGTGCTGTTCTACAGAAAGTCTTTGTTTGTTTCAAGTCAGAGTAAAACATGATGGATATGAGTCAGTGCCGGTCACGCTGACTGTGTGTGTGTGTTTGACACTACATGAATAAATCATGAGTATGCCAACCTAATGGCCACTGGCCAAGGTCTGACACAGTATTTTTAGGTACAGTATTTTCCTCCGTTGTGCCTCGTATCTGCCAAAGACATGAGAGGCCAATCGATGTTTGACGGGAAACTGGGGCTGAGGTGGGGGGGGCTGAGGCCAAGCAATTCCTTTTGGGTAGATAGGAGGGTACAAATCCTTTTAGGCTGCAACCACAAATCTTGCAGGACTGAAGAAATCTTGCATCCAGTTGTTTTCCATAATTGCCTTCTAGTTTATGGGCCCCGAGTAAACCAGGAGACACAGCGAGATTTACAGCCCAGCCACGAGTAACCATGGGGCCCAGAAATGCAACACACATCTTTAAATCACACACACATAAACACATCAAAGCTGTGATCTCTACCACCCTTGAACAGCTATGGTCTAATTGAAAAGTGCTCTGTTCTTGATTAATGTTTCCTTCAAAGCTGTGACAAGCCTTTTTAAAAGCTGCTAACTTTGATCAAGTGTAAAAATGTTTAACATCAGTGTATCACAACGCTGCGTAGGAAACAGTGCCGTTCACGTTTACCTGCATTTACTGCTGGCATATGTTAATGGTGGCCTCTTTGAAAAGTGAATGCTGTGAACTGGAGCTCTAAAGGGAAATTAGTCCAGGAATGGAGCACATTTATTGACTATTTTTGGTAAGCACACCTTTACAGCGGGAATGTAGCTGAGCATCAATATAATCATACCCTATGGGACTGCACAGCTTGTCTAAAAACAGGAGAAGGCTGATACTGAATACTGCGATTCCCAAACAAAAAGAGGTATACATTCTTCATATTTAAGTCAATGCTGTACATTCCTTGGGACATAGCGCAGCGCAGGTCTAAAAGCTTTCAGTGAAGCGACCCTAACTCATCTAGAAAACCATACAACTGCCACTTTACAATAACCACAAAGAAAAGAAAACATGCAGTTTCAAGGACGCTCTCTCCAAAAATATTGTAATCAGGTGTCCTACAGGGAAAACAAAGCTTTCAATTAAATGCTTGAGCGTGAAGAGGGGACATTTTCAAACCCTCAGAGAGACAAAGGTCAGCACTGGGACGGAGACAGAGAAGAGAAGGACGGCGAAGCCAAATTCCAAAGATGCTTTACACAACACAAGCTCAGGCTCGTCAGTTTGATGCACCAGGCGCTCACTCCCACTTGTGTGTGTGCAGGTCACTCAACACAGCCCCGAAAAAAGCAAATGCACGGCTCGCAGCTCCAGATCCTCTCTGCCCTCTTCGCTCAGCGCTCTCCCTCCCCTGATCCACCATCAAAGTTTGTTTACATTTGTGGGGTAACTTTGCAGGTTACATCTAAAACGCCCACACTGTTACATTATATAAGCCTTTCTAAAGCTGTGCACAAGTTTTCACAGCTGTTAGTTGTGTAAAACATTACACTACGATTACCAAATCAGCCACTGGCCTTATTTAATCTATTCCACAGAGAGCTGCAGTATTGTATTTAACTCCTGCACTGCCATGCAAGGATATGAAGTTTGGTTTGTTGTAGTGTCAGAGATGTATCATGATAAGGTAGACTCTTCTGCCATATTTAAAAGCCAGACCCGGAAATGTATGCACATTACATACCCAATGATTTCTGAGAATTGTGACGCAAAGAAACCAGAGGAGTTTCTTCTTCTTACCAAACATGTTGCCAAAATAAAACACAACTGCCCCCACAGACTGACAGGTTTAATGCCTCTCCAGAGGACAGACTTTGTTATGCAAGGACGGTTAGATTTAGAAAGAGGCTTACTTTTTGTTATACTGGTCTTTCTACGTCAACATAATATGTATTTTTCTAAGGACCTACTTTCATGTTGATTATTTTAGATTTTCCTGGCTTGTTGACTATAAAAAACCTCAGTAAGAAACCTTTATGTAGGAATGCATCAGCATGTTTTCAGTTTTTTTTTCAGTCTGGATTCCAAGTAACAATCCGATACCAGTGGTTGATCGGGATCATTCTTTTATGAAATGTTTGACCACTGCAACTATTTTTAATTGCAAACCCACAAAGTTTGCGTAATTTGTGTCTATGACAAGAAAATAAAAACAAATAATCATCTTCAGCCACAAAACCAGTAAGATGTTAAATCAGTGCAACTGTTCAGAAAACAGGGATACATTACCCCAAAGAGAAATGGACATACTGAAGGACTTATTTATACCTAAGAGATCACAACATGTATTTCATGTAAAAAGGAACATTCTAGTGTGACTTGTAACTGATACAGTAGAGTTTCAACTTTATAAATCTGTCAGCAGCAGCAGGATGAGCTGTGCCCGAGGCCGACTAGGAAGGAACCATCCTGGATGTGAAGCAAAGGAGCACTCCTCTCTCTGATTGACTATTACGTGTTGGGTGTAATGAGAGTTTCTCTGGCTGTGGGGCATGACAGCAGAGCAGTGTTTGGCAGCAGCCTCTAATTGTTAGCAGGTTATTCATTATGGATGGTAGACGATCAGTCAGACAGAGATCCTCTCTACAGACCCTGAGGCCTTTCAGGGGAGCCAAGAAGTTTGAAAGCGAGTCGTGAAGTGTTCCTTTTTCTGTGCGTCTAAAGCAGTCTCATGTATCTGTAAAATCTAACAAGACACACAGACAAGGACATTTGGTCAAATGCCTCAAGCTTAACTGCCTTGAGGTGATTGTTGTCTTCTGTTTTCTGAATGAGAGAGCACAGAGAATTTTGCGTAAAAGGTCAACTTTAAATTCCTCACACTCAGGATGATGAGCAGCTCTGTGTGGAACATGGGACATAACTAAGCAGCGGCCAGACGTGCTGGTGCTAAAGCTAAAGGCCCAGTGTTCAGCCTCACACGGCCTCCATTGATGAGCAACACTTGAGTCTTTACAGAGGTCAACGGGTCATATTTGGTCATTGCCTAACATACAGGGCACTATTGAGCCCTCAGACGTTTAAGAGGCAACACAGACGTTTTATTTCTGACAGAAAAAGCAGACACGTTTAGGGAACACTGGACCAGCCTTTACACTATACTATACCATTGTATTCACTCTGAACTCATCAGTATGAATAAAATATAAGCCCAGCTATTTTGCTCACTGTGAGTTGTTGAAACAATATTTTACAGGTGCTAAATAACTGTCCATTAGGGCTGAACGATTAATCGATTTGAAATGATGTGATTATCAAATCGCAAAGCCTGCGATTTTTTTATAACGTCTTTTTTTTTTACATTCATTTTTTTTGTTCTTCTTGTTTGTCAGTCATCCACACCAATCAGAAGTGCTGTGCTCCACATGTACCAACCATTGTTAACCAATCAGAAGTGGCCCATGATAGAAGGTGATAGACAGATTGATCCAATCACCTGCAAAGTATTTGTGAAATACTTTTCCAAATGGCTTCCAATGGAGCTTTCCTAGATGGTTTGGTGAAACAAACCATCTGAGTCAGGTTAGTAATGCTCCATCACATGTTTCTATTACAGGGTGAATCTTAAACTGAAGCTTGACTTCAAAGCAACCCAACGGAAGTTTCATGTAAGTTTCATGAATCACAATATCTGTCAGAAAAATCGCAATTAGATTTTTTCCCAAAATCGTGCAGCCCTACTGTCCATACATATAATCTTATATTTCAATAGTTTCTGCCAAACAATACATTTAGTAATATAGGACGAAAAGACAATTGGATTCATTTAAAATACTGTCCTAGCCAATACTGACAGTTGATGACATTTTGCCACTTTTCTATTAGCTATATGATCAGTTATATTAATGTATTTGAGAAAAACCTATACTAATGCTATTCGTAATTCGTAAACAGTCTCATGAGTGTTAGGACACAATTCCCAAACGCATGTTCCATCTGTTACATTTTCATTGGATTAACGCCCTTGATTTGACTTGATTTTGGATAACCTCAATGTTTATCTCTAAATATGATTATGAAATCAAATGTATAAAACTTAGTATAAGTTGGCGCACAAGTAACATGTAAGACAGACCATGACTGAAGAAATTAATCTAACACCAATACAAATTTGTTGACAAAAATATAAGCTGATGCGTGATATATTTCCTGGAAATAATTTATTTAGCATGAGAAATAGCAAACATGACTAATCCATTTAAGAAATCTTAGTCAACTTATCCCAAAAATACCCCTTAGCAGACTAATAGTCCTTATTAATGCAATACATGTTGCCGGTAGGAAAAGCACAGGTGTAAATAATAAAATGAACAATGGTTGTATTCCAGTAGCTGGTTTGATTGTAGGTTTCCAATGTCGTGCATGATGGCTCATTGTCCATCTATACGTGATTAGAACAGAGCCATCATTAGTGTTGTAAGTAACAACTGTGCTTTTCATGCATGCTGTGAGAAAGGCATATTGCCATAGAGGAGCCTCTCATCCATCTAATTATCTTTTTCTCAATATCTATAATGACAGCGTCCTTCTCCAAATGCTCTCGGTGTTAAGTAGGTAGATAGAACTAAATGCTGTCTAACTCTCAGTAATAATTTCCACAGCAGCCTCCGTTATTACAGACCCAGAAGAGAAATCCTTAAAACTATGTCTGCCTTAGAGGGTTTGCAGATTCACAATTTGTATTACAGTCCTGATCCTGACCTGAACTGACTTCACGCAACCAGCTGTCGATACTTGAAGCGGAACCAGCTGAGCTGTGTTTCCTCACTCTGCATCAGTTAGCCTATTGATGATGGTCTGCACAGTGTGCCTTAGCCTTTATTGCCTGTGCTGACTTTACATTATTGTATTTCTGCACAGAATTCAATTACTGGCTCTGCTACAGTAGTAATGTTGGGGTTATCTGAGGTGACTGGTTGTACTGGTGTTTCATGGAACCTTGATCTGAATATAACTGATGTTACATAAGGCTGCTTCAGAGTGAGACGATGCCACCGAACAGTCTGTTCTTAACTAATGCTGTAAAAGATGTCATGAAAAACATGCTATTGTGCAGACTAAGGCAACACATGTTCAGCCTAACCAGTTAATGATATAGGAGAGATTTATTTTGATGATTAACTACTAACTAACACTAACCCTGATTGGTTGCCGCCTACTTGGCCATATTTTAGAACACCTGTGTTTTACTATTTATGTAACACAAGGAAAGGCTAGCAGTACCAGGAAACATTGGCTTGGGTTGCTGACAGATTACTAATGTTACTTTTAGGAAGTTTTCTGAGGTGCTTTAGAAAAAGAGAATGACTGTGTGTCCTTGGACCCTAGACAAATGACACATTAATCTTCACACTGCAAGTACAGTTTTCACCAATCTTGGAAACATGAGACACTTTGGCACCATGGTATATTTTTCTTACGATTATGGCACTATTTCAGGTGTTAATATTTGAAATAAAGTGTTTGGCTAAATAAAAGTGATATAATTGAAAACAAACACTTGAATTGAGAATATAACAGTGATGATGAATTTCCCTCCAGGTTCTTTCCATAGCCTCTATTTACCCTTTTCCACAGCAATACCACATTGGATTAACACATTTGAAATTCTAGTTTTCCCCTGATGTCATCGGAACGGTCAACAACCGCAAAAACAGCAGCATACAGGAATATGTTCTTGCTTAGTTCATTGGAATTTGTGAGAGAGCAAACAGCAGAGCGGCATGCAATTTATTTCACCTTATCCTGAATACAGTTCAAATTCTGTGTTTGGTTTCTGTTCACCTTGTCAACAAGCAAAGTCTGTACAGTGTTTGCCAACTTCTGCTATCAGCACAGTGAGCTCAACACAGTGCACAAGTTCAGATTGAAGAATGTAAAGGGAGAGGACGATGTGTGGAAACAAAATCACATTCCTTACATTTCTCTCTAGGTAATTATTAATGTGCACTCACATCGGCCGAACAGCACTGATATGACTATAACCGTAGACAGGGGTCTGCTTCTCTGCTTTGGGCCCTGAAGTGTTGTGGGATACTAAAATAAAATGCCTTTTATCCAAATCACTTAAGTTCCCATGAGAGCTAAATTGGTAATATCAGACATTTAATGACTGATAATTCTTCCACATAATCAGAGCGGGGGAGCCATACAGAGTTAAATTGAGCTTATAAAGACAAAAGCCTAAGAGCTAGCTACTTATTAAATTCATTAGAGCGAGGAGGATAGGAGGGCTCTCTTTCTCTTTTCTCTCTGTGGCTCCATTGTTTCCTGGAGCGGTTCATGTAAGAGTCACCGTTCTGTGATTACACAGATAGAAATCGAGTGGTTCCCACATCGACCCACACCTGAACCAATTCTACTTAACAGCTGCAGTGAATGTGCATGCATGCATCCATCCACACACCCTCAATGATGGACCACACAGGAACACAAACAGGGAAAGGTGTGGGCTGCAGCTGAATGTTGATTGAGATAGAGAGGACTACACATGTATGGATTTTCCCAGGGAACAACTGCTTTAAGTGTTAGGGCTTTAAAATGTAGTCCGAGATAAACCGCAAAGATAAAACTCTTCTGCAGTGTAACACCAGAGGAAGAGCTGAGCAGGCTGCGTGTCAGGTAGTAAACACTGGTGCTGATGCCGAGTCAGACCATCAGCACTTTTTTCTCCTGTGAAGTTTCTCTGTAAATAAAGAGTGTTTGTTGTTTGTTGGTGCCGAGCAGCAGCACGGTGGGAACTTGTGAAAATCAGCTTGTTCAGCCAACACGGGTCACAACTCCACTGTTTACAATGACAGCAAAGCAACAAGATACAACAAGTAAGACATCAACATGAGGAGAATTTCACCTTGTGTGGCAAGGACATTTTGCCTTAAGCCGTATAATTCAATAATAACAATAAAAGTCAGTCTAATGAAATCTTGTTACCCAGCGGTACAACATGGAGCCATGAATACTCCTCAGGGGGAATCCCAGAAACATCAGATCACCAATTACCAAACAAACACAGAAAAACAACGAAATGGAAAGGCGCACAGCTCAGCGGAGCAGGTAATCCTATATATGGTTCTTTAAGCACCATGTGGCTCCGTTTTAGTACAATCAATAATTAACTGTTAATTAGCATATTTGTTCAGTGCTGGAAGTGAATGAGGAGGCTGAGGCTGCCGCTTAGTGTGACGTCATTCGTCCTGGAGAGAAGATTTTACTTAAAAAGTTAGCTAATTCCAAGTCAACTCCACTGCAAACAAGCATGCCTCCTGGGGTGAGTAATTAACAATTAGGCTGCTTTCCTCTCCCTCTGCAGCTCCAGCCGTTCTTCAGACAATCCAGCCTTAAATCACAGTGAGTTCAGAGCAGGTTGTTTGCTGTCATGTTAATAGGTCAAACTTTCCCTGAAGCAAGTTCAGGAATGTATACAATAAACACACAGGTAACCGAGATCTTGCTCTGATCTGGAGACCAGCAGGACACAGGAGTGTGTACAAAAACAAATAGATAAAGGAAAAGATGGAAAAAAGTCACTTGTTTACCTGTTTGTTTGTCCACCTGAAACTTCACTTTGCAGCTCCTGAATCCATGCTCACTCTAGTTCAGTCCTCATGCCCGCACTACTGATTATGATGGCAAATGACTTCCTGTTTCTCGGTCTGTGATGGCAGATGGGAGGTGTGAATGGGAGGGAGCTGCCCATTCCAAACCGCTGACCCAAGGGCCATGACAAAATGACTTGGGTCGGATTATTGTAAATGTTGTGTTTCAATACAGAAAGCACAATCTCTGAAGATTAACCTGTGTTTCATATAAGAAACTGAAATCACTAAAGTCGACCTTTGTAGCAGCTATAAATCAGTTTTGACTCCCTTGAGAGAATCTGGTACTTTCCTACTCACTCTACACCCTCTCCTTTTCCTCCTCACCTGCTTATCTCTTTGTGCTCTTTCAGCCTCTCAGGGGCCGGTGTGGTTGGACTTGTTCTCCCAGTTTCACCAACAAAAGCTCCGCATGTATGTGTACCGGCCTTGAGGCGGTCAATCCGGACTCTGCATTGACATACTGGAGAGCCAGCGTCACTGGACAAATACATTACAATGCATCTTGTTTGCTCGCAGGTAATAAGACAATATGAGGGATCAGACTCGGGTTAAAAGACAGACAGCAGGAACACAGAGAAAGAGGGATGAGGGTAAGATCAAATAGGAGAGCATACATGAGGAATGAGTGGAAAATGAGAGCATGTGGGGGTTGTCTCAGCGTGGACCGTCTGGACAATAGTCTGAGTGTAAGTCGCCCTTCCTGAGGCATGGTTAGTGGACGGGTTCTACGTCGTATCAAATTACATAATTCAAACTGGAGACGCTCACTTGTGAGGGGAGAAAAGAGAGGACATTGTTCTCTTTTAACCAGGAGAAAGCGACCCCTTTCTTCTTTCTTCGCCATGTGATGCAGGCGACAGAGCTGAGGGCAGGAGGTATTTGGACTTCCTAAAGCTGGCACCAATAGGTGGGCACACAGGAATCCATGCTTATATAGCACCTTGACAACCAGAGATGCACAATATAGCAATTGGCACTCTATTAAAAGGCATTCCAGAGAAATAATGTGATTTTTTTTCTTCTGCCGCCCTTTGGCCTGCTGAGAGCAACTTGGAGAAAAATCAGCTGAAAAATGAAAGGAGGGGATAACCCCATCAAAGCGAGGCAGCCCGGTCTAACACTTGAACAGGTGACGCTGTACCCGTCATTACCTCTGGGCCTCACAGGCATATCCAGTCTCAGATTCCACAGATTCTCAGTTGTAAGTCTCTCAGCTGGCAGACAGAGCAGCACCAACAAGAAAGCTCTGGGAACCTCGAGAAGTATTGAAGGTGGTGCATGTATGTGTGTGTGAATAAAAAGGCAAGAGGCAGCAGCAGGAGGGGTAGGTCGAAGAGAGAATAGGAATGTCGAGGTTCGTAGATTGGAATGTGAGGCAGAAAGAAGAGAGGGACGAGTCGGGGCCTGCTGACAGTTACTGTACCTGTCTGACCAGTCAATAAGACGAGACAACAGCACGAGCTAGGCTCATTTCCTCTGCCTAAGCTCTTCTGGACAATAACATTACAGGAAGCAGCTATGGGAGGCACACTGGATGTCTGGCTCTTGAGAAATTACATTATCCTTGGTCATCAGACACGCACCTGAGCTTAGTGTGTCTGTGAGTTCTACTTTAGAAAAACATGATAGGAAATTCAGTCAAATAGGATTTAAAATAGAGTACCTTATTTACAGAGACAGATTCTTTGAATATATTTACAGACTTTTCTTCAAGGGGAAGTTTGTCATTTTGGGAAACTAACCCTGATGCAACTCTCATGTCTGTATGGTAATATGAATATAGAACCAGCAAATGTTTAGCTTAGCTTAATTTAGGCTAAAGACTGAACATTTGTTGAAACAGCTAACCTGGCTTTGGTTTGTAGGTAACAATCCACCTACCAGCACCTTTTAATCCCATTAACTAAAATGTTTGTTTACCAAATCAGTTAACGTTATTTTGTTCCCTTTGGGCACAGCCAGGCTACTTGTTTCTTGTGCTAAGCTATAAGCTAACTGGCTGCTAGGTGAGCATCCATATATAAGAAACAAATACAAGTGGTATCTCGAACTCTTAACAAGAAAAATAAAGATTGTATTGTTCAAACTGTTTCTTTAAAAACCAAACATGACAATGCAGGTGAGTCTTAACTTCCACTTTGCTACCTGTGTGACCTGAGCAAGACATGCCAAACAATGTAACCTTTAAATACACAGTGTGATTTCTTATAAAAGAACAGGATGTTACAGCAAACTGAAAAGCAGTTGGAAAAGATGAGCTGCGTCTGCCTCGACCACATTACACGCAGATAAAAATAAACAACAAAGCCCACTCGCAGAGGAGGGCTTAGACTCATGGCCTTTTGTTCTCAAAGCTACAACTCTTCAGACTAAATAAAAGAGACAGGGGCTAAGTGCACACACACACACACACACACACACACACACACACACACACACACACACACACACACACACACACACACACACACACACACACACACACACACACACACACACACACACACCACACACACACACACACACACACACACACACACACACACACACACACACACACACCACACACACACACACACACACACACACACACACACACACACACACACACACACACACACACACACACACACACACACACACACACACACACACACACACACACACACACACACACACACACGGCAGGTGTGGGCTCTTCTCCTCACTAAGAGATAAGCCCGATCAATAAAAACATGAGGAAACGATAAGGCTGGACTGACTCATGGGGCAAAGAGGCTACATTCATTAACAAGACAATAGTCCTAAAATGAGATTTTTCCAGAGTTAACGGCTATTTCCGTGGGCCCTCTGCGTTGGTGACATTTATAGACAAAAGGTCACAGTATGGGCTCTGTCCGTCCTCCTACACTCTCAGACCTCTCCCCTCTGAAGGTCAGGGGGTCCTGCTTGTCCCATGAGGATAACACTATTGTTCAGCAGTCAAGGGGCAGGCCCAACAACCACGCAGTAAGTCAGTAATAAAAAGAAATACTGGACACAGTAGACTTTAAATGGAAGGCATTGCTTAACAGGTTCAGCTGGACACACAGAAGACATTTTGATTTATAGAAATAAGCATGTAGGCCACCAAGTGAGCTTCTCGTTATGCCAGATCCACCAATACATACTAACATTTATATACTTACATATCATCGATCTGTGATGTTCCTCACTTTCCATGAGTGTAGTGGTGTGAAATGTTTTCATAGGTTGTTTTTCTTCTGGTTGATCATTAGAGAATCTCCTCCTTATCCTGTATTTTCAAGTTGTGGTCAACAACACATATACGCTGACATAATATGACTTTATAAAGCTGTGACGTTGCAGACTGAAAAATCAAAACATCAGCTGGGTGATGAGGAAATGTCAGGAATGTCAAGATAATTCAAAGTTCAATCTCCAGCGTTAAGGAAGAACACCTGTCACTTGGGGATAATGATTAACTCGGGTGTGTTCTCTGCATTGGCATTTGGAAAATTCAAGGCCCCTGCAACTAAATGTGTGAAAATAAATAATATAACACACAAGACTTAGGATGACCACATGTTTGTGTCGTCACAACTTATCTATTGCAGATATACAAAGGAACTTTTATTTCTTCAATATTTTCCAAACAAGGTCAAACATGTTGATTCTACTTACATTATTGCATGCAAACTTTAATCATTTACTGTGCCTGCTTTGAGCTAAACAGCCTTATGTGAAACAGTGGCAGAGTCCGGGCAGTGGGCCTGACACGCCTGGCCCGGCCAAGCCCCACGGTGATTTTCCTAATCGCAGCGACAGACGGCCCACAGAGCGGATCAGACCAGCCACTGGCAGAGGGATGAATGAGGAGTGAAAGCTCTAAGTGTAAAACTACAACACTTTCTCCTCAGAGAGATCAGGCATGGCGTTGTCTATAAAGACTCTATGAGATGAGTGCAGACAGGAGGGTGAGAATAGGGATAAGCCCAAGATTAGGAGGAAATAGTGTTGAGGAGGGGAGACATACCAAACTCAAAAGGGCTGATTAGTGTTTGATTAGCTGGCTGGCCTGAGGGGAAATCTCTACCAACCATTATGACTGCGCTCTCCTTGCTAAGCCATCTGCTAGACTGTCGTATGCATGACTGACCTGCAATGCACTTACACGCTACAGAACTAGAAAGACGTTTTGTTCTGTAGTTCACATTGGTGATGGTGGAATTATAAAGTATTTAGTTGCTGCACTTTTGTTCAAACTTGATGGGTGCTTAATGGAGAGGAGTTCAAATCCTCCTCCACTTGGTTAGTCAACACGAAGCAAATGGTCAGCAGACATCTGAACGATCAGCAGAAATAGTGTTTCATCAGCTGTCAGTCCTTTAAGGAGTCTCACCCACATCCATCCACACACACACACACACACACACACACCTCCTGGGAGCTCAAACAGCTGAACGAAGACATCACATCAGCTGCCTTGTTGATTCTGTTGAGAGAAGAGCAGCAGAGACAGACTGCGCTAATAGGTTGTTGTCAAAGAAATCCAATAAGCTTTTAGCTAACAGATTGGATTTATTGATTAAATCACAGGTACTTTTGGTTGAATATCCCAAGGCGAATAATGATGCAATAATCAATTTCAATTCTTTAAAAATTGTTTGAAATTTGTTGACATCAAAATTCTCAAAAATGTTCAAAACAACAACATCACAACTTGTGCTGTTGAGTCAAAAATCAACTTTTTGTGCTTTCTTTACGGCCCGTCCACACAACGGCTTTGGAAAAAGCTTTCCGGCGGGCGTGTCTGAAGCTCCACCAACAACCAATCACATGAATCTCCTGCCCCTGACACACAAGCAGTTGGAAGAAGCTTCCAACGCCACTGTGTGGACGGGCCGTTACAGGAAGAAATGAATTGTTCTTATTCCCATTTTACTTAGTTGCTGGAAGTCTCATTAAAAATGAACTCAAAACTTCTTCACACAAAACTGAAGGAAACAGAAGAAAATATTATTTTGTTTGTGATTGATTTGGGTTGACTGCCACTTTAAACCTTGCAGTCAATCTTGACCTTACACCCCTCCAGCTAACACTGCACTATTTAATCTGTTTGGTTTGTTTTTGCATTGGGGATGAAGGAGACCTTATTGCAACATCTCGTCTCTCAGTCACCTCTGTGTCATAGAGAAGTGGGCAGGATGAGAAGGATAAATGCATTTTTGTGCAGTGACTTGAACCCTAAACAATAAACAATAAAGCTGTCTCCGTGATTGCCATGCAGAGATCAGTCACACCGGCACTGGCAGTATATCACCCGCCATCACCTCTTTCAATTCTCCTATGATTCCTAAATTACAGGGATGGTTACCACGCAGCCTCCAACAGCTCACACATCTATTGTCAGACTACCTCCTCCACTTACGTCAGCAGGCACCCACCATCACCACACTCAAAGGACTCTTCCTGCAACGCTCCAAGAGTCCTCGGGTCAGAGGTCACCTGTGGCCTCTGGTTTCCACGACAACAGCCCAAAGACTGAGTCAGTATCACACACACACACAACACACACACACAAACACACACACACACACAACACACACACACACACACACACACACACACACACACACACACACACACACACACACACACACACACACACACACACACACACACACACACACACACACACACACACACACACAACACACACACACACACACACACACACACACAACCCACACACACACACACACACACACACACACACACACACACACACACACACACACACACACACACACACACACACACACACACACACACACACACACACACACACACCACACACACACACACACACACACACACACCACACACACACACACACAACACACACACACACACACACACCACACACACACACACACACACACACCACACCAGCTTTTGTCCCCAAACTCCGGTGCATCAAAAGAGACCCTGGAGTTTGAGCTTCAACCCAAACATGTACAGGCCAAATACTACTCAACACACTGCAGTCAGTGGAGACCACCAGAGCTGCGAAGTGACAGGAAATAAATGGCAAAGAAAAATCACTGTTCATCCATCAGTCTCCTTTTTCTTCAGTCACAAACACATACATAGACACACTCTGTCAGTAGCCAGTGAAAACTAATTGTAAGTATAGCCTACAATTTAAAGTCATGATCCAGTAGAGGGTTTTACTTTACATGGTGAACAAAGTAAAGTAGTACGTTTATTTCTCAGGTTTAGTCTGCAGAAAGTTTTGAACAAACCATTTTCAAGATGCACAACAAACCATGCACTGACACTAGCTGCAGCGCTGCATGTGCAGGAAAAAGCGGATCAGGGAAATATTGAAACAAGTTGGCGCCGCTCACCATGTTCTGCACGCAGGACATCTCTCGGAGCAGCACGGGAACTCTGCTGCAGTTTGGTCTCTCGCTGCTTATGTAAGGAAACGGCGTTTACGTGGCTCCGCAGGATACTTTCCAGGACTCAGAGCAGCAGACAGCGAACAGACAGCGATCAGCCTGCGTGCAGAGAGAGGAGCGCAGACTGTCTCTTTTCCCTCTCAGAGGTTTGAACAGAGTGAGAGGAAACATTAGAGGCGGGGAAGCATGTGCCTGTCCCCCCTGTGGCTGGACGGACACACTTCGGGTTGTGGATGGGGACACCGCCATCTAGCGATTAGGCATGTAGGTGAACCACATAAACAAAAAGTCCCACATTCATTATTTGTCAATTGGGGTTTTATATTCTGTCAATTGGGGTTTGATATTTTGTCCATTGGGGTTTGGTAATTGTACCAGTTGTGGTGCAACATCAACTTATATATTTCATTATTAGGGCCCGATAAACTATCGGTGAGCTGGATGCAATCCTACCTGGAGGGGAGAGAACAGATGGTGGAGGTAAACGGTACTCTGTCCCCCCCCCCCCCCCCCTCCCAGTGAGCTGTGGTGTTCCACAAGGAAGCATATTAGGTCCGTTACTGTTCCTAATTTATGTAAATGACATGTCATCAGCATGTGACTGCAACTTGTTCCTGTTCGCGGACGACTCAGCCCTGCTGGTCTCTGACAGGAACAGGTTGCAGGTTGAAAAAACCCTCAGCTCCGAGCTCGGCAGAATCTGCACCTGGCTCGCCGATAATAAATTATCATTACACCTGGGTAAAACAGAGTCCATTCTCTTCGGTTCGAAACATAATCTCAGCAAATCCGACGACTTCTCAGTTGCAGTGGGTGACATTATTGTCACAAAAGAAGGAAATTACATACCTAGGATCTATTCTTGAGGCAAACCTCTCCTGTGACAAAATGGCATCCAATGTAATAAAAAAAGTAAATCAAAGAACTAGATTCCTATACCGGATCTCCTCTCTGGTAAACAAAAACACCCTGAAAACTCTGGCAGGAGCACTCATTCAAGGGTACTATGACTATGCTTGCACGTCATGGTACCATAGCACCTCCAAGGCGCTAAAAATAAAACTTCAAACATCGCAAAAATAAACTGGTCAGACTATTGCTTGACCTTTCATCTAGAACCCACCTCACCTCTGCCCACTTTGACAACCTAGGATGGCTTAGAGTAGACGACAGAGTACAGCTACTTGCAATGGGCCTGGTCTACAAGATCCACTACACCTCTATGGTACCCATGTACATGTCAAAATTCTTCCCAAAGGTCAAGGAATACCATGATCATAACACCAGAGGGAGCTCCACAAATCATGTGAAACCCAGATTTGGCACAAAAAAGGGGGAATACACGTTTCGCAATTATGCCACATCAAGGTGGAACGCTCTTCCCACAACTGTAAAGGAAAGTAAAACTATACTTACCTTCAAAACCTCTCTTAAAGAGCACCTTCGGGGGAGAGCATTGCAAAACTGGCCCCGGTAATGGTACAAATCTCAACCTGTCGTTCAATGGACAGCTTCCCCCCCCATCTATGTATATACTCGCATTTTAGACTCTGTTACTAACTGTATATCTGTAGACTTGGTATGTCTTAAATGTCCGGTTAGGATGTATTAGAACGAAATCTAAAATGAAAATTGTAAATAAGCAATCTGTATGTAAAAAACCACCTGTATGTAAATTGTAAATAAGCCACATGTCAAATATGTCTTATATGTCTTAAATGATATGATGAATTGGAAATGGGGGACCCTGATGTAAACAAGACGAAAGTCTTTCTCTGGTCTGCATCCCCTTAACAATTGTATGTTTTGAGCTGTACTGTACTGTACCCAATATACAAGCTGTTAATACACTTTTCAATCAATCAATCAATAACTGACAGAGTCATAGTGCAGGACCTATTGAAATTGCTTGATGCTGATTGATAGCCTTAGCATGTTAAATCCTGGAGGTTTTTTCCACATTTCTCAGGACTTGTGAAACAATTTTTTGTTTAAGGTGTCTTAATTGGTGCAAGCTAAATGATTCTTTATACTATTAAACACCTGAACCTTTTTAATAACATCCATAAACATTCATCTGTTTGCACTTCTAGATTATTTATCTAGCCTAATAATAATTCCATGTACTTGTGCATAGACTCTTCTTGCACTATTTCTATTATATTCTATTTTATTTGTATTAACTTGCACATAATAAAACATTCTCTTGCACTATTTTATCTGTTAGATTTGTTCTATGTCCTATAGCCTATCTGTTGCACTGATGGAGGAGCCTGTGACCTACGTTTTTTTTTATTTCAATGACAATAAAGCCTTGAAACTGAAACTTGAAACTATAGCGCCCCTACACATTTGCTAACAAGCAGCCCTTTGTTGTGCTTTCGCCTGTGAAATATGCTCACATGGTACATATGGATGTATATTGTTTATTACACACTAACTTGGACACACAAATAACCTCAGTCTGTGTAGAATTATTGCTTTTTTTTTTAATGTTCTTTCATAGTGCTGGTTGGTCTCCGAGCACATAATGAAGCTGCCCTATGTGTGCTGTGTGCAACATACTCGATGAGCACTACCACAAGGTCAATGGTGGGGGTCAACAGGGCCCCAACATCAAACTGTTGCCACTATGCCCCCTAAAATAGTAATAACTGTCTAATTGCTATTTACAGTATTCCTCTGAGGAAAATATCATTACAGTTTCTGCAAGGCTGCCACTCACTATTATTTTAATGATCAATTACTGAAAAATGTGCACCACAAGTCTTGTGCCATCACATGTCTTGTTAAGCCTGAACAATAATCAGAAACCTAAATATAGTAAACGTGCAAAATATAAAACTGAAGAAATCCCATTTAGGAAGCTAGAATGAGAACATGTTTGTTTGTTAAAATGGCAAACAATGTGTTTGTCCATTTGACGACTAACTGACCAATAATTTCAGATTTTCAAGATAAACGACAGTGTTTCTTGGTGTATGAACATTTTTACATTATTCTATTATGAAATTAGAATCAAGCTATGTTTATTGATACCATTTCTCACACACAGAAAATACTCATAACTCAATAATAATAATGTTTATTTTTATTTTATATGAATAAAAAGGCAGGGTTATGCACAATAAGAAAAAGTAGAAAAAGACAGGTAACAATGTGTATATAAAACTTAAAAAACACAATCTGCTTAATGCACAACGCTTTACATTCATCTAAATCTAAACAACAAAATGTCTCTTAATTTGTAGGCTTCAGTGTGTTTACAGCAATAGAAAGAGAATATGATGTTTGTTGCATTTATATATTGATATGTGACTGATTGAATACGGTTCAGTACTTTTGACAAAGCAAAATGGTGCTCCTGATCTCCACCGTCTCATCTAGTTTTTATGGTTTTTGTTTCTTAGGTTTTGCTTTGGGCACCACTTTAACAGTAGTAGAAACTGATTTGGCTCCTTGCAGGTTCTGGGCGGTGCAGGTGTATGTTCCCTGGTCCACGTCCCGCACCTCATCGACCAGGAGGACAGACTGGGACTGCTGTCGGGCCGCTCCTCCACCCACTGGACTGATGCTGTCCTGAGTGTACAGAGGCCTCCCAATCTGCAAACAACACGATAAACCAGAACATTTTTAATAAATGATCAATAGATAGCTGGATGCTCTGTAGTCCATAGGTCAGAGGCCTCTTAACTAGTACTAGACAAGCAATAAATACAAAGATTATGACATAGGATGTACATAACTAAAATGTATAGTATAGCAAGTATGCCATATTGTAGAGTTCTATTTCGTCCCTACTGACCGCCAGAGGCGGTGCTTTAGCACTGGATATGTCCATCGCGCGCATGCGCCGTACGAGTACCAATAACAACAAAGTCACCTGTGACCCACGTGACACCGGCTATATCAGCTGGTGTCATCAGAGGATCTGTTCCTTTCATCTTCTCGCTGCACGAGGATACCGTGGCCAGGGCCGGCCCTCGGCATAGGCAGTATAGGCGAATGCTAAGGGCATCAACCCATAGGGGGCGCCGAAAATAAAAATAAATAAAAAAGATTAGAAATGTAACAATTTCCCGATTTTGGATCAACAAAGTACATCTTATTATCTTATACTAACAGAACTACGCATTGCGTACAGCGCCCATAAACTATGGCACAACCCCCCCCCCAAATCAAGTTGAACTGCCCCAGTACCAGTAAAAACCAGAGGTTTATGTGAAATTGTTCTTTTTTTGAAATAATGGTTTTAGTGTGCAATTATAGGTTTTAATTTTGTATTTGTATTCATTTAAAATAAATCAAACTCCCAAAAAACGTACACAGCTTCTGTGTGCTTTTATTAACATTGGAATTTACATTGTAAGCGGCCGCGGGGGTAAGAGCTTTAGAGAGCTCTCTCCTGAAAGACTGAGAGGCTCTGATAACCTCAGCTCAGTGAGGTAAAGGCACACCTCTATATGATCATTATAGTTATAAAAAAAAGAGAATAGGTGAAAAACAGGTATAAAATACTGACAGTACAAAAAAGTTGTTATTAATAAACAAGAATACAGTTTGAAAGGGGAGTGATTTGTAAAATATCCATAAAGAAAAAGAAAATCTGCTTACAGTTCTGTTTCATATGGGTGTTGAGAGATGTATCCATATATCTCCTAATGTTGCTCTCAAAGTGCACCAGATTGATGCTTTTAACTTCAATATTAAAAAAAAAAGTCTTCCCGGGGGTGCATGCCCCCGGACCCCCCTAGAGGAGGTGAGGTCCCCCTCCACTTAAATCATGTTCAAATGGATAGGAAGCTAAATACAGTTGCACACATCTTGTGTCAATATCTTTCTGTTTTGGTGGTCATGCCACAACCGTGCACGCGCGAATCATAGTGAGTGTCTGCCAGCTAAAATCTTGCCTAGGGCGGCAAATTGGTCAGGGCCAGCGCAATTTACAATTTACAATATTGTAGCCTACAGCGTTCAGTTGGAACGTTTGATTTAAGGATTTCTCTGCATCCAGCTGGCTGCGTGCAGCTTCGCGACTGATCCAGTCGGAGCCGCGGGGTTACCCGTCCTCCAGGAGCTGGATCAGAAAACTTCAACGGACAGGTTGGTGTCGGCTTGGTCGGTGACGGCAGTGTTTCCACTCCCTCTCCCAGCTAGGTTGTCCTGATTTCTGTCTTGGTTGCTACCTGGCTTGAACTTTCTGGTGACGGCAGCGTTTCCGCCCCCTCTCCCAGGAGTTGCCCTTGTTGCGCTCTCTGTACTTTTCTGATAGCGCGGCGTTGCACCAAGCTATCATTAGCATCTTGAGTTCCAGCTTTTGTCGTGTCCTCTTGTTTAGCTAGTAGCAGTAGCGCGGCTCAGCCTAACGGCCCCTACACACGGCGGCGTGCGTTGTCGCTTGCCGGCGGGGGCTGAAACTTGACCAACAACCAATCACATGAATCTCCCGCCCCAGACACACAAACACGCGGTTTGATTGGCTAGAGCTTGTACTGGCATATGATTCGATTGGCTGACGCCTCCGTCGAAGCATCAAAAGTAGAATATTGCTCTACTTTTGCAGCGAGCACCGCGAGAAAAGCTACGCTTTGCTCCCACAATGCAGTTCGGCGAGGCGTGACGTCACCCCATTCAAAGTGAATGGGCAGAAGCGTTGAAGCAGCATTATCAGTTCCGGGTACTTCCCTTCGGTCTCTCCCTCTCTCCAAGGGTGTTTACCAGGGTCGTGGCGGAAGCTCTCGCACCCCTGCAGGCACAGGGCATGAAGGTCCTGCCGTACCTAGACAACTGGCTGGTTTGTGCGCCGTCCCGGTCCTAAGTGGCCCAGGATACGGCGCACCTCTTATGTCACGTAGCCCGGTTGGGCCTGACAGTAAACACCGGGAAGAGCTGCCTGGTCCCCTCCCAACGGGTCACTTACCTGGGGTTTGTCCTAGATTTGGTCGCCATGAGGGCCTACCTGACACCTCGTCGCGTGGACGACATTTCCCACCTTTTCCCCATCTTCAGGCTGGGCAAGAGTGTGCCTTACATGCAGTTACTCCGGCTCTTGGGCAGACTGACTGCTGCCTCAGCCGTTGTGCCCTTAGGTCTGCTGTCGCTGCGCCCTTTGCAGATGTGGCTGAACAGCCTTCACTTGGACGCCAAGTGGCATAGGCACAGGAAGGTCAGGGTGTCGCACCAGTGCCTTCACTCTCTGTCACGCTGGAGAAACAGGGCCTATCTTCTGATGGGCGTGCCCATGGGCGCCATCCCATGGGCGCCATCCCATCCCACTGTAGATGCATGTCTCTCAGGGTGGGGTGCGGTGTGGCAGGGCAGGACTGTTCAGGGTCTGTGGTCCGCCCAGGAAGGTGCATATCACATCAATGTGCTAGACTGTTCAGGGTCTGTGGTCCGCCCAGGAAGGTGCATATCAATATCACATCAACGTGCTAGAGCTTCGCGTTGTGCTGCTTGCGCTCAGGCACTTTTTACCCCAACTGACGGACAGGCATATGCTTGTTCGTTCGGACAACATGTCCGAGGTTTCCCCGATCAACCACGAGGTCCGCACAGCTGCTCCGGGTTTCACAGAGCCTCTTGTCTTGGGCGTCTCCCCGCTTGGCCAGCCTGCGAGCAGTCTTTCTACCAGGAGACCGAAATCAGGTGGCAGATTTCCTCTCTCGGCACAAACCTCCACCAGGGGAGTGGAGGCTTCACCCAGAAGTGGTGGAGACAATCTGAAGCCTTTTCGGCAGGGCCGAGGTGGACCTCTTTGCCTCGGAAGAGTCGAGGCACTGCCCCCTCTGGTTCTCCTGGACAGAGGTGACCAGCACGATGGGTCAGGCGCACGACTGGCCGGACGCTCTCCTGTATGCCTTCCCGCCGCTGCCTCTGATACTTCAGACGCTTCAGAGGGTCCTTACTCAGGGGCACAGGCTCCTTCTGGTCGCCCCCCGCTGGCTGGGGAGAGTCTGGTTCCAACTGCTGCGTAGTCTCTGCTGCAGCCCACCATGGTGTCTCCCCGACAGGAAGGACCTTCTGTCACAGCTCAAGGGTCAGATTTGGCATCCCGACCCTCACCGCCTTCAGCTCTGGGTTTGGCCTCTGCAGGGCCCAACCCACTGTTGAGCGGTTTCACGGCATCTGTCAGGGAAACTATCCTGAATGCCAGAGCTCCGTCCACTCAAGCACAGTATGAGTGCAAATGGAAGCTCTTCTCCCACTGGTGTTTGAGTAAGGCTGAGAATCCGGGACATTGCTCCGTGGCCACCGTTTTAGAGTTCCTGCAGTCCCTTCTGGATAGTGGACGTTCTCACTCCACTATCTCTGCCCGACATGTCGGAGTCGATGGCGCCACAGTGGGGCGCCACAGGTTGGTGTCCCTCTTTCTAAGAGGGGCTCTACGGCAGCGTCCCCCTAGCACCCCAAGGGCCCCGGCTTGGGACCTATACTTGGGACCTGCCCCTAGTGCTGGATGCCCTATCATCTCCGCCAGTGGCCGCCCCCTGCCATCAGGGGTGAGATGCCACTCTACAAGGAGCGTCTCAACGTCTTGGGCCGCCCTGAGAGGAGTGCCCCTGGAGACCATCTGCGCCGCGGCGTCTTGGGCATCTTCTGGCACATTCTCCAGGTTCTACCGGGTCAATGTCGTCACCCCCCATCCTTTGGGCGTGGTCCTGTTGCCAAGCTCCGCTGCTTCCAGCTAGGTGAGTATTTGGTTTCTTCATGACATGGTTGGTATAAGTCATCCAGTGCTAAAGCACCGCCTCTGGCGGTCAGTATGGACGAAATAGAACGATAGTTACGTCTGTAAGTACGGTTATATGAGTCCCGGATGACCGCCAGAGTTTCCTGTCATGAAGAATCCTTGTGTGCTCGCGAGAAGATTCTGGGAACAGATCCTCTGATGACACCAGCTGATATAGCCGGTGTCACGTGGGTCACAGGTGACTTTGTTGTTATTGGTACTCGTACGGCGCATGCGCGCGATGGACATATCCAGTGCTAAAGCACCGCCTCTGGCAGTCAACCGGGACTCATAGAACCGTAGTTACAGACGTAACTATCGTTTTAAATCAAAAATATTGTAATGATGACTGTCTTCCTGAGTGTCTGACCTGCTGTCCTGGGTAATCCCAGGTGAACTCCACAGCCACGTCCTGCTCCCCCACCACAGAGCAGCTGACACGCAGATTCTCCCCCGCAGTCACTGAGCTGGACGAGGCCTGGATCACTGGAGCAGGGGGAGCCATGGGGTCTGATGGCAAAACGTGGAATGTAAGTAAGTTTTATCAGTGATAAGTAACCGAACAACAATTAACAAAATGCTGACTAATGAAACTGAGTATTACTCCCTGCATGTTCTGCCTGTTTTATCAGTTTTTCTAGAGAAAATCTTAGTTTACAAGTTTGTAAAAAGAGACAGTCAGCAACAAGTGCCATACAAATAGTTACTTTTAGCTCAGAAATGAAAATGTATTGTGGAAGTACTGCTGAAAATGTTGTTCTTAAAAGATAGAATACTGAAATGGCAGGAAGAAAAAATACATAGGTTTAAAAATGTTGAATGAGTAGTTAAAATAGAAGTGCTGAATAAAGTTCAAGTGTTAATTGAAGTATTAGCACTGACTGAAGTCGCCTATCATCTGACAACAAGATTGCAGAAAAGAGGTTTCATGTACAAGTAGAAGTATATTTGAACAAAATGGTCTGGAAATTAAAATCGCAATAGAAATTAATGCCAGTTCACTTGTTTGAACTGAGGATTTTATTTAGTTTTAGTGTCAGCTGAAGTAAAGGCAATGTATAGTTTGTGTATGAACAGTTGAGGTTATCGGAGTTAGACAAGCTACATAAAAGACAATGTGCAAAGAGTAAATGGGTAAGTATTGAAAGAGTATTACATACATTCTGTAAAACAAGAAAAGTTGCAGTTCCTTACCGTAGAATAGGAGTAACCAAATATGTTTGGGTGTTCGCTTTATAAAACTTTACAAAAAGTGTTTATCAAAATCATTGTTTATCAATTTTTGTGATTATGGCTTTTGTAATAATTTGACCATAATTTTAGTGCTTGTTACTTACTGCCCCATCAGGCAAGTTAGATGGACTTGGGACTCTCTGTAGCTCATGGTTGCAATTATCTTTAAATGTACAAATATATTGGACAACATTTGCCTGCCTTCCTTTCTGGTGCAAATGAATTCACAGTTAAGGTTTTGGACTGTGCGGAAGCACTCACAGTTAACATAGATGAGCATGTACTTGGTGGAGCTCTGCCTCAGGTTGCCCAGACTGGCGACACAGAACAAGGCTCCAGCATGATGAGGCCGGGGGCGATGAATGGTGAAGCCCCTCTTGACGTTAAAGGAGATCTCTGTCCCATCAAATTCCACCTCAACTGGAGGAAACTCCCGGTGCAGAGTCACTTTGGCCTGGGGTGAAGTCACCTGGCAGGGGAGGAGAGTAGGCCAGTTGGTTCTCAGCTGGATCGCCTCGTAGTAGTCAGCCGACGGGACAAATAGTTCTTGTGGATCTGATTGGAACCGTGAGAAGATGTCCGATTCAAGACAAGATAACGTGACGAGTAGCAGTCAAATAAAGCAGGGGCAGTTGTGAGAATTGTATGTGTCAGAATCAATTAAAATTCACTGTACCTGGAAAGAAGACAAATACTTTGACAGCTTTGTCATACTCCTTCCTGCAGTCTGTGTCTTCACAGTACATCGGATAACAGCTGAACTCCCCTGTGTCTGCACCTGTTGTGTTAACCAACGTCAGGACGCCATATCGCTCCTGTTGGACCATACTGCAGAGCCAAAAGAGGACAGTCAGAAAACGTACTGACTTAGGAGGATAATTGCATTAATATTTATTATGTATTTGCTGCTTAGCTGACCTGAGCCTTCCCTCATCATCCTCCTCCAGGTACTTTGGTACGCTCCACTGCACAGGTTTGCCCCTGCACCTCAGCTCCAAGGTGTCTCCTGACTGCACACTTATACTGTCTACCACCTTTTTAAACTTCCCTCTGTTTAGCACCTTTATGTGTCAGATATGAAAACACATAGTTACTGTATACACTGATGCAGTCATTTATCTGTGTTTTACTGAACGATCCTTGGACACCATTCGTGCTGTTTCCTACCTGTGTGAGGAAGGTCTGTGCCGGGGCTGTAGTTTTGATCTTTGGTTTGGCTGTTACAGCTCTGGGCGATTTGTTTGTTGACCTCCCAAGTTTGGTAATGCTCGGCTTTGGCTTCCTTCCTGGATTAATCTTCTGTTGTTGGGCCTCTTCTTGACAATAAGCTACACAGTATACACAGTAAATGAAGCAAGAATAGTCCACAAATAAGATTAGATACCTTAATTGATTCCCAGCAAGGACATTTCGAGAAAATGTTACATTGACCGGGAATCAAACCTTGGTTTATTGCTTGGAAAACATGTGCTCACCACTATACCACAATTGCTCAATAAGGATACCGGCAATTGTTAATTATACGAATCAAGGGATAACAGTTTTATCTCGATGTGCCAAATGGCATCATGGTGGATCAATGGTTTTTACAACATGTAAACTCCTAGAGTAGGCCATTATGCCTAAGGGCAACAGAAATGTTCCCTCCTTAGTGATTCTAGGAACACATGTTCAGAGAACTGAAGTGAATCAAATCACTTACCTAACTCGAGGATGACAGCACAAACAAGGAGAGTGCTCAGCACCAGCCTCCCCTTTGATCCAAACAAGTTCTCCAAAGGCATGATTGATAAGTGGAATAATATCAAAGTGGCTTGTTAGTTCATGCAGTTCAACACAGTACTGTAGAATCCAGAGAGAAGAGGAGGAGGGCAGAGCTCGCAAAGTGAGAGCTCAGCTGTTTACCAGAATCACAAAAATTCCTCCTCCTGAGTGGCATTAGTACCCCAAATTCCTCCTGACTGGCTCAATGGAGGCTTTCAAGCCTGTCCGGACCAATGAGGGTCCAGAGACAGAGGCCCGTGTTTGCTTAGCTGCTGGACTGGAAGTGTATGAGCAGCATGAGACTGGCCCTCTGAAGCAGCCTGAATGAAGTCTGTGGTGAGGTAATAAAAGCATTTGGTGCCCAATAAACCCTTTGTCCTGTGCTTACTGATTGTCGTTCTACTGGTAAAGAAAAAGCTTTGACTAGCTTTCGAGTCAGAAAAATCTAACAGAAAAATATGATCAACTTATCATCTATGTTGAGATTTATCTTTTTAAGTAAATGTATCTTTGGTATTACTATTGCTGTGTTTTGGTGCAGTGTTTCTGTTGTGAACAATTTAGTTAAAAAAACGTGATTTTATTATAAACTACAACCAATATATGAATTTAAATGTTTCTAGAAAAAAGATTTTGCATGTTTGATTAAAACCACAGAATGCTGTTCCCAGTGAGAACTATGTAAACCCTGCATTTGAGCGACAGTCTTGAACATGAACAGGTAAGCTTCCATGAAAGGTCCTTTTGTTCTCACTGAACTCCAGATCTTTATCTAAGATTGCAAGGGGAACTGGACTTTTTTTTAAATTAACAAGCCCTGCAGAAAATGAACTCCATTCGCCTTAAAACTGGATTCTTTATTTTTAATTAAGGAATACATTTAAAATATTTAATTAGAATACATGTACAGTTTCCATATATACACTTTAAAACAACAGACATTTAATACATTACATCTTGAAACAGGCAAAAAAAGACATTACATTTTACAAGATGGTATCTTATATAAAAAAATATTGTTTTGCTATTCATAGTCATTAGAATTGTATAAAATTGCAATACATCTCTACACTTTACAATTTATATGAAACATGTAAACTTGTCATCAAAGTAATAATATAGTAATTATCAACTGAACATAGTGTGAGCCCTTTTTGTTTTTAAACACAGGTGTAAACTACTTTGAGTCAGTTTTTGCTGATGGGAACTTGGGTCCCCCTTGCACCCTCGCTGCGAGGGGGACTCAAGTTTCCATCAGCAAAAACACGTGGGTTTGCTATCCTGGCTCCAAAATGGTGGAATGAGCTCCCCATTGACATCAGGACAGCAGAAAGCCTGCACATCTTCCGGCGCAGACTGAAAACTCATCTCTTTCGACTCCACCTCGAGCGATAGAATTACTAACAAAGAACTGCTAACAGAGCACTTATATACTAATAAAGGACTGGCTTATCTATAGCCAGTTGAGTAGCACTTGAAATGTTTGGCTCTATGAAACCTGATGTACTTATATGATTCTGTTTTCTTCAAGGTTATGTCTTCCTGGTCGAATGTACTTATTGTAAGTCGCTTTGGATAAAAGCGTCAGCTAAATGCAATGTAATGTAATGAGAGTAGATTAAGATGCTCCAAGACAACAGGCAATTTATACAGATCCAGAAATACATCAAGCAATGCTGGCAACGACAATATTTAGATAAATTACAAACTCCATCATAATGAAGAATAAAAGTTAACAAGTTGGCCTATCTGTCTATTTCTCTGCATCAAAACACTGAACACCTGTTGCAGATATGTATCAATGCAGGATCAGATAAGCCTGTTTAACAGTTGTTTCACACTTAAAGCAGTTATTCATGGAAACATCTTAATGTATTTCCGCTTCAGCTGTGCTTAGAATTTTTCCTCTTTAATGACGTCCATGTCTGTTTGGCCGCTGACAGTTTCAATCCTTTGCTGGGTGCCCATCAGACGCTTCCTCTGAACACTATATCGGATACCGTAGACAAAATAGATGACTAACCCTGGAGAGAGAAAGGTGGGTCATTACAGTTCAGAGACTAACTCAATAGAATAACTTTACTTTTCAAGCAGATATATATTCTTACCCACTAACATCCAAATAGCATATCGTATCCAGGTTTCTCCACCTAACTGGACCATCAGGTATACGTTGATGAATGTACTCACTAACGGCAAAGCAGGGAGTAAAGGCACCTGTGAGCAGAAAATAGAAGAGATGAATATATTTTGTAATTAATGTTAACTAGAATGTATGCACAAAATGTGTCTAGTTTCTCGGATACACAATTGAAATGTTCTCACCATGAAGGATGCCTTGGAGCTATTTTGTGGATGTCTCCAGATGAGGAAAGTGTTAAACAGCACAATCAAAGCGAGGATGGATACAAGCACCAGACTCCATACTTCCAAATTGGCCAGAGCGTCCAATGCTTGGCTCAGAATGACAGAAAGTGATACCAAACATGCAACTGGAGAAAAAATATGAAAAAGAGTGATCAGTTCGTGGAGCAGAGGAACAAAGACTTTTCAAAAGCATTAACTTTGGGGTAAAGAAAAGGAAAGTGTCTAAAATATAAAAAGGCACTCATGTTTGCCGTTCGTACCAGACAGTATGGTCAGGATGGTGACTCTTCTGGAGGTGGATGAGTTAGGGGTTGATGGAGGATTAAAGAGGCTGAACTTGGTGTTTGTCTCTATGATTTGTAGGTCTGAGTCTTCAGATGGATCTGGTTGGTACCTTGATTTAAAAAAAAGATAAAGATGAACCATAAATTCAGTTTGGCTAAGTGTTTCTAGTAATGCTGTCAAAATTATCGCGTTAACGGCGGTAATTAATTTTTTGAATGAATTGCGTTAAAATATTTAACGCATTTAACGCATGTGCAGAATAGCCCGCCCCATACATCCCACCAGTGGCAGCGCCAGGGTATGGCTAGAGTAGGCTACACCAAGCCCCCAGGAAGTGCGCCGGACTCAGATGAAAATATTTGTGCTGGCCAAACGGCGGTACTACACTTCCGTTTGGTTGCCAGGCCCGGAAACACTTTTTCCCATTGACTTACATGGGGAAAGAGTGGTCTGTAAATCGTTGGATAATTTTTTTTAAACTAAATAAACTACCCAGTATGAACACTTGTATAGCCCTTATTAAAAACATTCGTTCCTCAAGTTGTAATAATGTGCTAATGTGAGTTATTTCCTAACAATCAACATTGGCACCTCTGTTGTTTCCCCGACTCAGACTGCAAGGAATCTGGGTGTGACCCTAGATAACAACCTGTCCTTCACTGCAAACATCGCTGCTACAACCCGCTGCTGCAGATACATGCTTTACAACATCAGGAGGATACGTCCCCAGCTGACCCAGAAAGCGACGCAGGTTCTGGTCCAGGCTCTCGTCATCTCACGCCTAGACTACTGCAACTCCCTCCTGGCTGGTCTACCTGCATGTGCCATCCGACCTCTGCAGCTCATCCAGAATGCAGCTGCTCGCCTGGTCTTCAACCTTCCTAAATTCTCCCACACCACACCGCTCCTCCGCTCCCTTCACTGGCTTCCGATAACTGCTAGAATCCACTTCAAGACAATGGTACTTGCGTACCATGCTGCGAATGGATCTGGCCCTTCCTACATCCAGGACATGGTTAAACCGTATACCCCAGCACGTGCACTCCGCTCTGCATCAACCAAACGGCTCGCTGCACCCTCGCTGCGAAGGGGACCCAAGTTCCCATCAGCAAAAACACGTGGGTTTGCTATCCTGGCTCCAAAATGGTGGAATGAGCTCCCCATTGACATCAGGACAGCAGATAGCTTACACACCTTCCGGCGCAGACTGAAAACTCATCTCTTTCGACTCCACTTCGAGCGATAGAACTATTAACAAAGCACTTATATACTAATAAAGGGCTGGCTTATCTAAAGCCAGTTGTGTAGCACTTGAAATGTTTTTGCTCTATGAAACCTGATGTACTTATATGATTCTATTTTCTTCAAGTTTGTATTTTGTTGGTCGAATGCACTTATTGTAAGTCGCTTTGGATAAAAGCGTCAGCTAAATGCAATGTAATGTAATTTCCCTTTGCATTATGAACGTGCATCTAACCCACGGGACCGCGCCGTCCGGCACGTTCATGTTACGTGTCCCGACCAATCAGAGCACACTGTGCTCACAGGGAGGGTGGGCAAAGCAATAGCAATGTTAAAACGAAGTAAACTGGATATAAACTCCCCAAACAGTTGAAAACCTACCAGTTTCACCAACTGTCTCTGCCACCTCCCGCCATGCCTAGTTCCTCCGGTTTAGGTCCCGGTAGGTGAACAGAGTACAGTCATACAGGACTGGGACATTTGCCACGGCAATGATTAATTTATCCTCCATTTTATGACATATGGAAAATAGTCAAGACCTGCGGTATCAGCATACACGCGGTTTGATTGGCTAGCGCTTGTACTGGCGGGAATTGCATAAACGCGATTTGATTGGCTGATGCCAAGCATCGAGCCTCAAAAGTTGAACATTGTTCAACTTTTGATGCCGATGCTCGTGATGCTTGCAAAGCCATGCCATGCTCCCCACAATGCAGTTCGGCGAAGTTTAAAAATCGTTACGGCCCGTCTACACTACAGGCATCGAAAAATGCTTTCAACGCTTCGCCCATTCATTTGAATGGGGTGACGTAGAAGATTTTGAATCTTCGCCGAACTGCATTGTGGGGAGCGGAGCATGGCTTTGCAAGCATCGTGAGCATCAAAAGTTGAGCAATGTTCAACTTTTGATGCTCCCGATGCTTTCGAAGCTGGCATCAGCCAATCAAATCCTGTTTATGCAAATCCCGCCAGTACAAGCGCTAGCCAATCAAACCGCGTGCAAGCTGGGAGAGCCAGACCGCAGTTCATTTCCTCATATTCCAAACGAGAAATTACGGTAGCAAATCACCCGGTTCTTTACGACCAGAACTATTTACCGGGATACAAACCGGAGGAACCAGGCATGGAGGGAGGTTGCAGAGTCAGTGGGTGAAACTGGTAGGTTTTCGCCTGTTTGGGGATTTTATATCCAGTTTACTTCTTTTTAACATTGCTATTGCTTTGTATGTCGGGGGCGGGAGATTCATGTGATTGGTTGT